TATAAGCCCGGTACGGATGGTGTGATAAGATCCAGTAAAGTCAGCCAGAAACAGGATGTTTTATTGCTGGGTCGGCTTTAACTGCAAAAATGCACGAAACTCGGCGAATCTCTCGTTTTAAATTTACAAAGTGGTTTTAGCCGTGGGGATTTGTAAAGTAGACCGTCTGCTAATCGGTGACCGAGCAATCATTATGTTAATGTAACATCATTTAAACAGGTAACGTAAAAGTAAACGAATTATTTTAATTTGCTTTTTAGTTTCGCCTCTGATCGAACAGAATTCAGATTAGAACAGTTAATTTCTCTTTCATTAATGCTTTACACGACTTTTCAATTCTCTAATTTCCTTAATTTATTTGCTTATATCTGAATGTTCAAAAATTATATGATGTTAATTAATAAAACCAACGATGGGCTGGGGTTTTGGATTAATCTTGGAAACAGGAAAACAAACTCATTGTCGAAAGTATTTCTATATCCTCAAAAGAGAGATTTACTCAGATATAGTAATTATAATATCAGTGTGTGTCTAGGCTTTCTCATTAATGGTTCATCTTTACGTGACTTCCAAATTCTCCGTAATTAACAGCGGAGGGCTGCTCTTATCTCGCCAATTATTGCGTTTGTTGATATTAACGGGTATGCCGGTACGTGGGATAATTAAGTGTATAGGCTCTTTAAACGTATACTTGTTTGTGTGTTATCTTGTATTAGATAAGAGACATGGTTGGTACGGGATGGGATGAAAAAAAAAAAACTAGCCTTCCTCCCTGGGAGGAGGACTGGTTCCGACCCACTCTTTCCTCATTATAACCGAGCCGGGTCCGTAGTTAGCTGAAAATTAATATTAAGCCGGGCCTCGTGTTCTTGAGTAATTGTCTCCTCGGGCTTCTATTTAAACATGGCTTTTTTATGAGAGGGCAAAGGAGAGAATATTATTAATATTTGCGTTAAGGCCCTCAAATTATCTGCATTTGTCAAACGGGACTCCCACTCGCACCAATATCGAAAAGTTGTTTAAAAAACAGTTCACTTTCTTTCTGATTAAAAATAAAAATTATAAAAACCGGACCAATTATGTGTTTTGATGTGGATATGGTAATCATAATCATACACTTATTAGCATATATAAAAAATAAGATCTTATATATGGTTTCCTGGGTATAAGATTATTTCATTAAAGATAGCTGATCACTCATTAGCTTGTATAATTTATGCTTGTCACAATTAGGTTCTACATATAATTAAAAAAAAAATAAATAATATAGACCTGATATTTACAAGTGTGAACAATGAATGATCAGATAATTACTAAGGATTAGCCCTATTGTTTTTAAAAAGCTCTTGTCAAATGATTTTTATCTATGCAAGAATCAGAGATCAATCATTTTCTGGATAGGCTTTGGATTTATATAAGTTGTAACAGGTTACTCAGGTATGCGCTGCTCAAGCCAAGAAATTTCACCCCTCAATAAGATAAGACACTTTGAGCAACCTTTCTCTGTATGCCGGACACATACGCGGGCTTTGGCAAAAAACTAAGTGTCCGTGCAAACCTCGCATGGCCTATCCTTAGTCGGGTGTGGATGATACTTCAACGGGTCATATCCTCACCTAGCGAAAATGCTCTTGATTCGCGAGCTTTCTGGATGGGGAAAATTGCAGAAATCGTGAATATTTATTAAACTAAGAAAACAAAGACAATATTCATTCATTAGTTTGATCGAATTATGTCGAATGATTAAATTTAAATTGTGTAATTGTTTTTAGTTGAATGGATTTATTGTAAATTGTTCCAATCTGATTTGTCCAAAACTTATCTTTACGTTGATTCCACAGTCCACAATGGAAAACTTTGTGGTTCTTTAGCCCTATCCATAATTTGTGGGTGTAATTTCAATAAATCTACATGTCGGCGGGCTGACTTTTATCCCAAAGTCCGTCATACATTTTTATGAAGTAATTTTTTATTTATTGCAGAAGGTACGATTGACTCTTATGAGAATTATTTATAGCGGGCGTATGTCTTGAACCGAATTTTCAAAGCGTTTAATTCGGTTCAAGATGGATTCTCGTGATAGGAGAAATTATTTTTCAACGTACACCCACGTTTTTAAGCCCGAACAAAGCCCTTTCTCACAATAATTAATATTATTCGGGATACGTGTTCCCACCTGGGTTTTGAGCTTTAATAGCTTTTCTTTTAAAAGTCTAATTGAGTTTTACTAATACCTTTTTCGAGGACAAACGGCGGCAGGTACGATGACAGTTCGTAACTGTAAAATCCACATACTGCACCTGATATACGAGTGAAGCTAAGTCAAGTATTGACAAGATAATTTCCCATGGTAAATTGTGTTGGGCCGTAGGCGAAGTCTTCCCTAATGCCCGTCGCTCTTTATCACTGGACCCATTTATCAATCTCAGCTCATCCACCCACTACCTCCAGCGCATAATTAACCCTAACAAAATGTTTTAATTATACAGCTGGAGTGAAATTAATATATATTCATTACAGAGATCCTAGCCCAGATTGCAAATGAGTGAATGTCCAAGGATATCAATGTTTAGTCTCAATCTCATACAATTAATGGTTTAAAATACGGAACGATTATGTGATTTCTAGTTTAGTCGTTTGAAAACATTTTGGTCCCCTAATCTTCTATGTTTTGGTTAAAGAAAGGGTCGGCTAGGAATCAAAATACATCTGACCAAAATATTCCTGAAACGACATAATTTCAGGTTCATCACCCCGCAGACCTCTAGATCAAATCTCACAATTTAAAACCTAATCCTTCGCCTTTTTGTTAAAAAAATAAATAATAAATTCTCACTGTAGGAATTTTGACAGATTCATAAAGTGAAAACATAATGGGAGGAAACGTTGTTTTACCTGCATTCCAAAGAAAAAAAATAGAAGGAACATCAACTAACCCTCGCTAATAAATTGCGAAATTATGCTGGGTGGTCTGCGAGTCGATCGATGCTGATAATCACCGGTCCTGTTGCCTTTAGACGGACACGTTCGTCTGTGCGCCTTCACCAGGAAAAAGACCTCGGACCAAGGACCAAAAGTGATAATAGGCTGACCCAGTTGGATGTACTAGTAACCACTGACAAAAAAATGATTTTCCGTTGACATTGAACAAACCTCTCGTTGACAAGGGAACGTCACGTTTGTTCGTAGAAGAAAACCTTATTAAACGACACGTGTTAATATTATTCAACAGAGCTTTTAGCGAGTACAATTTATTAAATTAATCATTAAAGCAATGAGATTAATTATTTATTAGATGGCCAATTGCACAGTTTTTAAGAGACAGCGAAGATGTTTTAATTTTTCTTATGCAATATGATATTCATACATGCCAGTGTACAGAAACGCTGATAAATATATATGAACTTTTATTATTCTTACTTCTACAATTTTACAATACAGTTGAATAGGAGAATTTAATTGATACCAAATTTTACTGCTTTACTAGAATCAATACTCACAAAAAATGTAGCTGCTTGTTTTTTAAGTTTTCTAGATTTATTTTGCATTACGGAATGCCGTAACATTTTAAATTTCAGACTTTTCTTTAGAAATATTTTCAAATTAGATATCAACACAAAAAATGCCAAAATGGATTATTCGATAATCTTTGGATTGTTTATTCAGCTGGAAAGGTTATACCAATGATGTGCAGTACAAATTAACGTAAATTTTTGTAATAACCGATCACGACATTGATTTTTAAGTAAGTTTTTGAATAAGTAAAAACGATTATTATAAAATGGCTTAAACATAGCTTTTCATAAATAGCGAGAAATACTGATATACTTCTAATACAAGTCCAAAAAACAATAATATTAACAAAAACAGTCTACATAAATAGAAAAACGGGGAGGAACAATGAAAATTCGATTCTTTCATAGTGTTGGCTATGTATTCCCAATTTAAATTGGATTTTTAAAAAGAAAAACTCAAAAAATAACATAATAGAATAAAATATTCGTACGTGGTATACATTTTTTACTATAGTGAAAGACCATACTATTAAATATAATATACACTAAAAGACAAAAAAAAGTTGTTTATTTCAAACTATACTATACGCTAACTATCGCTATATTAATCGTTATACGACATATTTATTGTAGTGTAAATTTAAAAAAAAACGAGATCAGAAATACGTGAGTTTCAATAAAAGTGATTTAATTATGATGGTTTGAAAAAAAAAAAAAAATCAAAACACCGAAAAATCATTTAATGATAGATTAAAATTTAATATAACAATTTATTTTAGCACTAAATGATTTCCCTATGTTTTAGTGAATTTCGTTTCAAGTTATCGTAAGTAAATATTTTTATTAAAACTCATTAAATTCATGAATGAAATATCTAATGATTGATAACATATAGTTTTTAATAAACAAGAAAATACGAGTGCCTGGTTTTTTGTCTTTTTGTATACAAAACCAATCAATAACTTACATTGTCGTTATCGTCAAATATTTGTCAAATGTACACCTGAGTGGTTAGGTTATTATTTTCAAATTCAGTTGAAATCAAAAGTGTTTTCTACTTCTATGTTTAAAGTGTGTATTGACTGAATTAACCTTTTCATTCCTACAATTAATTTATCTCTGTATGAACATCAACATTGGTAGGTTATTCTAAGCAAGCATATTTATTGAGATTGCAACTAATATTTAGATAGTAACTCAATAATTGTATAGTTTTTGTTTGTTTTGTTTGTGTAAGTTACAATATTAATGATAAAAGTTTTGATTTATTTATGTTCAAATTGAAGGAAATTTTAAGTAGATCAATATTTCCCCAACTGTGTAAATACATGACAATGTCTTTAAGATATTAGATAATAATGTTATTTTATATCATGTTAAAATGATAATAAATATAATAAATCATGAAAATAAAGTCCTTAAAATAAAATTACCTGACCATGTAAATGGAAAGGAGTAAGGAAAATGCAATAAAGATTTCTTAATTTTTTAATTTATGTCTTTTGAAGTGCGTTTTTGCGTAAGTTGACGCCATTAGAACTGCAAAAGATTTGATTTAAATCAGATTAAAGTGAATTTAACGATCTTATGATGATTTCTGACCCCTACTACGAAATTATCCAGTTAGTTTTAAAGGACTTGTTTCCGGGCGTACAGATTAGCATAATTCTGTAATTTAGTAAAAAAACCAAAACTCTACTTCAAAGACATTTAATCAGATTGGTACTAAGTACAAATAGTCGAGGTCGTCCTTTTTTCAACCATTTAAAGGCTCTCACATAAGCATTGTTCCAGTTAATAACCGTGTTCACACTTACAAATTAAACCGGAGAACAATTAAACCTTTCGGTGGTCCCTGTTATTTTATGAGGAAAAGAGCGCATTTACAACTATATATAGTATAGAATAAGGGGTCGTTTAGTGGGTAATAATTTAATTTTCCCATTTCATATGTGTCGGCTAATGCGTCGGAATGCCCTGATTGCAGGAAACGGGTTCCGTTACGGGCGGCTCACATGGTCTCAGCCGGTGGTTTCCACAAGTTTTTGCCTTTGGCAAAATCCCGGGAGACGGTCGAACACGTGTTCGAGCAGAACACATCCCTGACTAATTACAAGAGTGGAGACAGGCTCCGGGACTTCGGATAGGCGCGACACAAACACAAAAGGGCCGCCGACCCACTCGACATCCTTGATCTCGACGTACAGACAATTGACTCTGAAAATACCGTCGCCTCTCGACCTTTTCGAGCCTTGCCTTCTCCTTGAAAGCAACATCGTATTAAACAATGGAGTATTCTGTATAATTCTCCTCGGTGATAACCACTCGAGATATTCATCCACGTATCTACAAAACACTTCAACACCGACAAAGAACCTTAAAACAAAAATTCAAATGTAAACAAAAATTATGATCCAACAATATTTTTTTAAAAATACGTGAAGGCACAATTTATTGACAAAATAGTACAAATTATCCATAAAAATACATGAATGACTAGCGATTTTATATACCAATATATTTCTTTACATATTTCCATATTTCTTTATAATAAACATATGTAAAACTTATGTTAATTTAAACTTACTGTATTTTCTGGGGAAAGTTTAAAACGTAAAAAAACCACATTCCTCAGATACAGTGATATGGTATATAGATGGCTCCAAAACAAACGAAGGAACCGGATCGGGTGTTTTTTGTACAAGCCCAAGGTATGAGCAATCAAACTCATCAGGAAAGTACACTTTGGTCTTTCAAGCAGAAATACATGCCATGAACGCTTGTACCCTAGAAAACCTTAAAAGAGGTTACACTGACAACAAAAACCTCGTAACATCTGACAGCCAAGCAGCTATTAAAGCATTTGCATGTGAAAAAATCACGTCGATAAGAGTCAGTGAATCCATCCCAAATCTCCAAAATCTTGGGAAACACAACAACCTAATGATATATTGGGTGCCAGGGCACAAAGGAATTTTGGGCAACGAAAAAGCAGACACACTGGCCAGAAGAGGACATACATATACCCCGAACCTATACTGAAAGGATCCAAATAAAACAAATAGGGAAATGGATAAAACGGCGCTATACACAGTAAATTTATGTTAAAACAACCCTCGCCAAATTCACTGCTGTAGTTGGAGAGGGCTAGACTCAGAGAAGTGTTAGTATTATTAAACCCGTCAATGGCATCTGAGAAAAAAACTACACAACATGGACATATATAACGATGATCCTAACTGCAATTATGAAATGAGAAGGAGGAAACAGCCATCCGTATCATTTACGAATCCGAAGCAACGGCTCAATGGTGATTTAACCTAGCATACAGTAAAAACCTAGGAATAAAATTGTAGCAGCAACAGTGAATGACCTAATACTTCTGAGAAGAAGGATTGGGGATGGTTAGTTAACTAGTTAACCCTAACCATCCCTAAACGCAATAAAAATTATGCGTAGATACAGAGTACGAGAGTAAAATATTTTCTTTTCGTGTGTTTTTGAAGATTTTCTGCATGTGAATCTTGGTATGCCTATTCTCGCCGAGTTGATCTGTCAATAAATTTCGTCATCTTCAATGTGTCTGTGATTATGTTAAGCCTCTTTATTGATATTATTGTGGAAGCAGGGTATCGGTTTTTCTTTTTTTATTAATTATTTTGGTAGTGTAAGTCGATTTTTGTTGTTTGTCATCCCTCTGAACAGGAGGACATTTCACTATTGTAGATGTGTTGGTACTAAACCTTTGGCACATATCAACCCATACTTCTCCAACCCGAAAAAAAGGTCCATTCCTGTTACACAACATGAACGAAGATTGCGTATTGGATAACCATTTTCGATGCCACTTTACTACGCGATATCCTCTTTTGCCAATTGCTTTAAGTTGGACTCTGTTTGCCAAAAGCTGTTAACGAAATTGTCTTGTTTTTTCAGCAGTTGAGGTGGGTGGCTCTGACGATTTTATGCGTTTAAATGAAACGTGTTGGTATAAAGAGCATTTTATTTTTAAAATATTAAACTAAACACTCTCAATTTTCAGTCTATAAATATAAATTTATTATCCTTAAACAAAACGAAAAATCTGTTTCGAATTCATAAAACACGCAGAACTAGCCAATGAAAAGCAAAAATATTTAGTTTTTCTGGAAAATTTTAAATATTCAGCGGTTCAGGTTAAATTGAATAAGCCAAACAAGTTACTACCTGTATTGGCTTTTAACTTAATTAAACATAATCAAAATATACCCTAGTTATGAAAAAAATTACCTTGCTTGAACATCGTGTTCGTAAAAATAATAAACATCCAAATATGGTTGATTTTATTTACAATTACCGAACGTTGTAAGTGTATAATCACTAATTTAAATTTTTTGCAAAAAAAAACCCTAAAAAACCATGTAATATTAGTTACGAAATATTTCGGGATCGTCCAGCTTGCGAAACGTAGCAGATAATTGCTGTTTGAACGTCGAAACCAGTTCCAGTTCAATATCACTTCTATGTAATTTTAATAAATAAACAACAAAAGATAATAATCAGGTATGAGGATTGTTTGCTTTTTTTTCTTATTAATATTTGTTGCAATATTTATTTTTAATTACGGACTGTAAAACTGTTTCAGCAAACTGGTTTGTCTTTAAATTTCAGTTATAATTGTTTACTGTGCTCTATATAATATATGTTGGAAAATAAACATTCACATTGGTTTTCGGGCAAAGGTTCATATATTACACAAACTTATTATATAACTATGTTATTATTATAATTATTAATTGGTTATTTTTAAGATATACAGTGAAATTGTTTGTAAGTTAAAGCTCTAAACAGAAATATTATTTTAGTATTAAAATGGGGCTAACAGGGCGGCATTCTTTTAAAGTAGGGAGGAACTGATTGGCATTCCTAAAAAAAAAAGAAAATATAAGGGCAAATGATCTGAAGTTTTTAATCTTTAATGCGCCTTAAAACATTATATCGAGCTAAAAGAGGTTGAAATGAAGAACAGTCTGTGTGTTTTTTAAAAGAATTATAATAACCCAAAGTAATTATAATTAATAAGGAATACGGCCTTGGTCTGGGCAATTGCTCGTGCCTTCGATTCTTTCCTGTTCGCGGTATGCAGCTGGTCATCGGAACGCCTTTATTATAGTGCTGGGATGTTTATTTTAGATTAGCATCTTTTTCCTATTGTTGGTCTGTTGCAATAAGTTTTTTCACATTTTAACTCTCATGTTATTTTATGTTTTGCCTTGTTTGCCTTGTTTTGCCTTGTTCTCGGGGTAGTTGTTGTGCAGGGCACTTAGCATGCTGTTAGTAGAACCTCAGTCAATATGGCTTGCAGAATGGTTTTTTTTATGGTCATATAAAATTTAATTGCTGACTTTGCTTAAGAAACTCATCCATAGAAGTGAATTAAACTATCATAGAAAAACAAAAATGCTACGATTTGCATTTCATTTAACAACGGGATATGATGTGGACGAATAAACATTTATTTAGATAATGGACTTATAGTAAAATAACTTTAAAAAAAACACATATTGGAAAAATTTTGTTTCAGTTACAATGCACTATTATAAATTTCATTAATCTAAAAGTTTTAATGTTAAAAATCTAACTATAAGAATAATTTACAATATCAGCAAAAAATAAAGTTAAACGAAAAAATTTAATGTTCTTATATAATAAAATCGATTACCTGTATATTTGAAAATTCAAGTCAAACGTTGCATTTTCCGTTTAGAAAGAGATATTTGGTTTGTTGATGTTGCAACTGTTGTATTTATTTATGAGTTATCTTGTTACGAAAAGAAGATAGGGTCATACAATTAGGCCTTGTCAAACGTATTCAAAACACGATACCCTTTCAAATGCAAAGTGATATTGAAAATTACATTTTACCGTTATAATAAACATAAAGAAGTTGTTCGATTAATGTTCAAAGAACGATTTTTTTTAATTTACCGTCAGAATAGCTGCAGTTTCAAAGGATAAAATTAAATCTTCCAAACCATATTGGGCATTTGGCATTCGATATTGATTTAAAGGGAACTGGATTTTTATTGGCAGGTTGTTCATTTCTTTTTTCCTAATCCAAGTTTGGTGAAAGATTGACGAAAGAAATGACGAGGAAAATGTTATAAAGTTTGTATAAGTTAAGAGAAATTATTCTTTAAATAATTTTAACGGACAAGTAGGTTTGGGGAGTTGAGTATGCAGTTATACGAAATGCATGCAATATGTCGTATGCTAAAAATTGAAAAATGTGTAGAACAAACAGCTATTACCACAGGGCCGATGATGAAAAATTCTTCAACGATAGGAAACTATAAAGCTGTCATTATTTAAAAATAAAAAATATGCCAAGGGGGCTATACAAGGTTTAGTGGAGACCCGAGAAGAGTAATCTTTCCGTCGGGGGAAAGATGTTGAAAAATTCGCCCGGACGATGGGATACGATTAAGGCTGTCAATAGTTGATGTTTTCTCCCTTATCAAAGGTCGGCTTCCTACTGGATAAACCATACGACCTGATCTGATCTGGCTGGAGACTAATTGCTTGTAAATGTAATACTGGAACCGACGGCGGTACTGCTCCCACCGAGATAGCCTCCTATTATCCAGCGATAAACGACCAGACACGGGAAATAACACCAAATTATATTCCTGGATAAACATCCATGCTCGGGTTCAAACGGTCTCGTCCGAGATGAGTGGATGATGAACTCCCGGGCCATAAAATAATATCTAATCCAACGAATTTATTCGAATTCCTTTCTTCAATCGTAAACGTTCACCTGTCGGAGAATATCACTTTTGCTTATTGATCCTTTCAAACGGAGAATTCTATACCCTTACTGAAATTGGGTCTCGTTCCAATAGGACTCCGATTACCTCAGAATGGAAACTTCTCTATAAAACTATTAGCTAGTTGAGATTGACTGTGTATGGTATTAAACCGATTTTGTTCGGAGAATCAAAATTAAAGAGCACAACCTTTTGAAATTGAATTTCTGGATGAGAAGGCAAGAAAACAGATCCAATTTTCACTGAAATTTATCTGCACGTAATGTAGTTTTTGTTGTTAATATTTTATAGCATTGTGTTTCGTACCATCGATCGATAGTCGTGTCTATCTATCATTATTGGAATGGTTGTTTGGTTGATTAGGTGAAACCTAGCGTTATCAATAAAAGAATCACTTGTGAGTCTCCTCTTATGGTTTGCGAGGTAATAAAGATGTAATTTAGTCGTTTACAATCATTTTTGTATGCACAATAGTGGACATTCTGTGTGTCAGATTTATTTTCGCCACCCCTCGAAATGTCCAGAGTTTCACAGCTATATCCAAACCTATCTTGGCTTTATTCCTCCTTCCATACGAAATATTTCCTAGGCAACTTCCTTTACTAGTCCATAAATTCTCCTCGACCTTACTCACTATATTTTACAGCTACTTCAATTCAAATCGTCTGTCGACTCTCTTAACACCCGCTCATCTCCCAAAGACCTACACCTTCCTCGTCGTAACACCTCAACATTTGAACGATCCTTCCTAGCTCGAGCCACAAATCTCTGGAATTCTCTCATTTGCCAATCCGCAAAGTCGCCTCCCGTACCTCTTTTAATTCCCTCCTGTACCAACACCTCATCTCCCTCCAAACAGAGCCAACATA